AAATTTACAAAGAGGAAGAAGACCTGAGATTTAAGTCAGCTAATAACTTTTGGGGAAAAAAAAAAAGTACATTTTATGCCAAAGTTCAAAAAATGAAACCACAGGAAAAAAATGTAAATTTGCCATTAATTCTTTGTCATTTATAGCCAAAAACGTTTATCTTTTCTTTTTTTCTGAATACTCCAAAAATGGCTGGGAATAAACTATTTGCTTATCAATAGTGTATCTGCGGCTGGGCACGGTAGCTCACACCTATAATCTCAGCACTTTGGGAGGCCGAGGCAGGAGGATAACTTGAGGTCAAGAGTTCAAGACCAGCCTGGCCAACATGGTGAAACCCCATCTCTACTAAAATACAAAAAATGGGTAGTGGCAAGCACCTGTAATCCCAGTTACTCAAGAGGCTTAGGCACCAGAATCTCTTGAACCCGGGAGGCGGAGGCTGCAGTGAGCTGGGATCGTGCCACAGCACTCCAGCCTGAGCAGCAGAGCAAGACTGTCTCAAAAACAAAAACAAAAACAAAAAAGTGTACTGCTAACAACTGATCCTGATAGCACAAGCAACAGCAACAGCAATCAACAGAGTTTCTTCAAAAGGCTATTTCTTTCCACAGTAATACCCACAGTCATATAAGAAAATAACAACAAAAATATTTTATACTCACTATTCAAAGACTATTCAGTTAATCTGGTCAGTCTTAGCCAATCTTTGGCTAAAGATTTTAGAGGTTTTCTTCCAGTATATGTTATCCTCCTCAGAGGCCAGTTTCTCCAATAAATGAAACAATAATTAATTTCCTTCTAAGTGTCCTCAGAATTTGGCCAATAATCTTGGCAATAATTCTTGAGCACCTCTCTTCTTCACTTTTGGCCCTTTTGGGAGCCAAAAGGAGGTAACTAAGAAACTTCAAGGACTTAAAAGTCTACTAAGGCCGGATGCAGTGGCTCACGCCTGTAATCTCAGCACTTTGGGAGGCTGAGGCGGGCAGATCGCTTGAGGTCAGGCGTTTGAGACCAGCCTGACCAACACGGTGAAACCCTGTCTCTACCAAAAGTACAAAAATTAGCTGGGCATTGCCGTGCACACCTGTAATCTCAGCTACTCAAGAGGCTGAGGTGAAAGAATCATCTGAGCCCAGGAAGTGGAGGTTGCAGTGAGCCAAGATTGCACCACTGCACTTGAGTCTGGGCGATAGAGTGAGACTCTGTCTCAAAAAATAAATAAATTTTAAAAAGTCGACTAAATTTCACTAAACTACTGACCTAGTAAACAACAGACATCAGGTATCAGAAAGTAGAAAGTCAGTAACTTGCCCCAAGGTGTGCCGGGTTGCTAGGTTTTACCACTCCATGACAACTCCTACAACTTTCACCTCTCACTGCATAACTTCAAATCGTAGCCTTCCACATCTATACTTTTTTCTTCTATTTCTTTTATTTTTTTTAGCTTTAGTAAATGCAAAAAGCTAATTAGACAGAAGTATAAACAATACACTTCCACTATATTAATTATGTGAATATTTTACATGTACATATGAAAAGGATAAACAGACACATACATCTGTACATGTAGTAAGTCATCCTGGAATGACAAAGAGAGCTGCAGGTTGGGGTTAGAAGAACAACGATCTTTTATGGGACATATTTTTGTACTCCACTATACATGTTTACCATTTACCTGCATGAAATTATTTTAAGTAAAGCCAACATCTGAAAAATGAATATAAGCTATACATTTGTTAGTAGGAAGCTATCGAAGAAGTTAAGCTCCCTTTGCTGCATACAAGCTTCAGGACTCTCCACAGTCAGTCTGTCTTTTTCTCTCTCCCCAACACTCCCACACTCCATCTTTCTGTCTCTATATTTATGTAGTTTAATGCTGCTGGCATTTCAATTTCCCTCTTGCTCACATCCTAACCCAGTCCAGAAGTTATCAGTTCCCAGTCGGGAGGTCTGGTAGCAAATCCCATGAATGACAGCAACCTGTGGCTCCTGCCCCACAGAGATGAGCTGGTTAGCAGAGAACCTATTGTCCGCTGGGCATGGTGGCTCACGCCTGTAACCCCAGAACTTTGGGAGGCTGAGGCGGGCGGATCACCTGAGGTCGGGAGTTCGAGACCAGCCTGACCAACATGGAGGAAACCCCGTCTCTACTAAAACTACAAAATTAGCCAGGTGGCACATGCCTGTAATCCCAGCTACTTGAAAGGCTGAGGCAGGAGAATCGCTTGAACCTGGGAGGCGGAGGTTGCCGTGAGCCAAAATTGCGCCATTGCCCTCCAGCCTGGGCAATAGGAGCAAAACTCCGTCTCAAAAAAAAAAAAAAAAAAAAAAAGAGAGAGAGAGTGAGCCCATCGTCCTCAGAAGGTAAAGGCTCCCCCGGAGCCATACTTGCCCACCTGTGCCTGAGCAAATGAGCACAGCACACCGTAGGCTTCCACATTCCCCTTCCCTATGAGTGCTAGTTCAAGGCTGTAGAATAACTCCGAGGTCTGTCAACTCCACAGGTGAGGAAGGGACTCTGGTAAAATCTTCCTTGACCCTGAACCCTCTATCTTGCCCCACTGCTGCTTCCTTTTGTAACTTTCCCTATCACCACTCTGAAACACCCTTGTGAGAGTTGTTCTGAACTCTGCACAGCCTGAAGTCCTTCTCTAAAGCTCTACTATCTTAGGGTTTATAATCAAACCGTGATGTCATGCCACATCCAGCACTGACACTGATCCATCACTGGCCTTTCCCTGTATTTCTTCCTGTGAAGACCCATGGCTGCTGTCTTCTGTGCCAACATAGAATGGCAGGGACTTTTTCCCCTAACATTGTTGCTAACTGTCCACCAGCCCTAAATTGCTCTGAGGATTAGACCACAGCCTCTAAACAATCATAAGTGTCCATTTTTCAAGGAAACATGACAACTGGTCCCAGTCAAGTAGAATGGGAAATCCATGGGTTTTGGAACCAGACAGGGCTGGAATAAATCCTAGTTCAGCCAGCTCCATTCTGTGGCAGCCTCCTTACCATTTACTAAGCCTTGGTCTTCCTATCTATAAATGAGGATAATTCCTACCTCCTGAGACGTTTGTGAAAATCAAATGAGTTACTCCCCTACGGAAAACCTGGCACTGGGATTTGCCGTCTTTACTCATGTGACACATCCCATTTCTCATCTCAGCCCCACAACTAAATCCACCAGATTAGCCGTGACCCTGTATCATTTAGTCACTAAACCTTGGACACATCTTAAAATCTTAAAGCGTAAAGATCATATTTCTGATATACTCCTTCCTTTCTATGAAAAGCAAAGTTTTGGCTGGGCACGGCAGCTCACGCCTGTAATCCCAGCACTTTGGTAGGCTGAGGTGGGTGGATCACTTAAGGTCAGGAGTTCAAGGCCAGCCTGGCCAACATGGTAAAACTCCATTTCTACTAAAAAATACAAAAATTAGTCGGGTGTGGTGGCAGGCGCCTGTAGTCCTAGCTACTCAGGAGGCTGAGACAGGAGAATCATTTGAACCGAGGAGGTGGAGGTTGCAGTGAGCCAAGATCACACCACTGCACTCCAGCCTGGCAACAGAGCAAGACTCCATCTCAAAAAGAAAAGAAAAGAAAAGAAAACTATTATAAGGACATACTATTGAGCAGCCAATCCAAGCAAAGAAAAAAGAGTATCTTGACCTCTGTTAATTACATAGTCAATAACTTCAGTAAAATACACAGAGACAGACACAGACACACCTTCCTGCTTTCTTTGGTGCTTCTTTTTTAACTTCTTTTCTGCTTAACTTCCTTTTTAATAATGGCTAAGATTCATAAGACCTTTAAGACCCTCAGGAACCCTTTCCCTCATTTTTGACAAGAGGAAAAAAATGGCCCAGAGAGCTTAAGTAACTTCTCCAAAGTTGCACAGCTAGTTAATGATATATGGTTGTGTGACTTTAGTACACAGTGGTTAAGCCCAGCAAACTGAGTAATTCATGAAAGCTTAGTCAGGGTGATTATCACACTGCTAGGCTGTATTTCATGGAGCTTAGAACACTTTAAAGACATTTAAAGATATTCTGTGAATTATAGTATGTGTAATTGCCAGGAACAATAAGATTCCACAGGTCTTTATTTGGTGGATGTCTTATAGCTCCCACATTCTAGACCAGTGCCATCAAATTAGACTTTCTAAGAGACAGAAATGCATTATCCAATATGGTAGCCCTGAGTTGTATGTGGCTATCGAGCACACAAAATGTGGCTAGTGTAATGAAGAAACTGAATGTTTTCATTTATTTCATTGTAATGAATTTAAATTTAAATAGCTACATGTGGCTGGGGGCTTCCATACTGGAACAGACCCCTGTACTTTACTCCAGACCCCTGTAATTTAGAGACCTAGTGCAGTAAGCACATTGAGTATTGAGCTTTGGAGACAGATAAACTCTTTCAGATACTTTCTAATTCAGTAAACTTGGCCAATCCCGTAACTGCCTATGTCTCAGGTTTCACATATGTAAAAAAGAACACAGTCCTCCTTAGCACCCAGAGGAGAGAGTTCAAGCCAATGTGGCCTGCCTTCCTGTGTTACTTCCCAGTGCTCATTCAAATCTGACACTAGGATTGGGCCTTTCTAGACACTTTCCCCAAATGGATGCAGTGGAGAAGTGGGCTTCTAGTTCTAGGAAACAAGGACATTTAGTTCCCACAAGGATGACTGGAAAATGAAGGGGTGGACTGAGATGAAATCTGAACAAACTCACCTCTGACATCATTCCCTGTCCAGATTCAGTCTTGACTAATAATCAACAGGAAAGAGTTGAACCTGCATTTCTAGAATTCATGGCCCCTGCCTTTGTGATGCAGGCAAAAACAGACCTTCAGAGGGAGAATCCTTTACAAAATCCTCTAAGCTCTAAACACTGGATGTAGCTCAGGGGAGTCCTGTTTCTGTGGCTGCAGCCCTTCTTCCTCCCTCATGCCCCGTCTCCATGTGAACCCCAGCGCCCCCAGATTACCTGAAGCTGCAGTGGTGGGGACACTGGCTGGTGGTGGCTGAGAGGGGCCACTGCTCTCAGTCATGAGGCACGGGTTGCTGCCGTTGTTCTCTCTTTTGACAAGGAGCTCGGCTGCACTGGGCAGTGGGATGGGGTGGCTGATGCCCAGTTCCTCCTCCTGGGCCTGCTGCCTTCTCAGGGCCACCTGAAAGCACACGACAACGAGTCATCCTCCAGCACTCCAGAATCAGCTTTGCCAAAGCACAGAAGCCCCACCCATCCCAGACACCACGATTCACTAGCTCTGGAGGTGAGGACTGAAAATCTCCCATTTCTTCTTAAACCCACCCAGGTAACTATGATGTGCAAAGCTTAGAAACAGTTTTGAGCCAGACAGTAGGTGCTCAAAAAATGCTTGTTGCCAGACATGGTGGCACATGCCTGGAATCCCAGCTACTCAGGAGCCTGAGGCAGGGGAACCACTTAAGCCCAGGAGTTTGAGGCTGCCGTGGGCTATGATCCGGCCACTGCACTCCAGCCTAGGAGACAGAGTAAGACCCCGTCTCTTAACAAACAAACAGAAAAGCTTGTTAAACAAATCATTGTGTAGAAAATGGTTGGTTAGGGAGGATCAGGAAAAAACTGTAGTCAGCCAAGTGAAGGAGTACGATCTGAAGAGCAGAGTAGGTCAGGAGCAGTGACAGATTAGGAAGGAAAATGGGATCACTCCTTCATTCCACAAACTTGTAAAAGGCCACTATACTAAAAACAGGGACCAGTAAGAGTAGATTGGATCCTACATTACTTACAGTTTAACAAATGAAACAGGGCCAAGAATGGTGGTTAACATCTGTAATCCCAGCACTTTTGGAGGCAGAGGTGGGCCAATCACCGGAGGTCAGGAGTTCGAGATTGGCCTGGCCAACATGGTGAAACCCCATCCTCACTAAAAAAAATACAGGCCGGGCGCGGTGGCTCAAGCCTGTAATCCCAGCACTTTGGGAGGTCAAGACGGGCGGATCACGAGGTCAGGAGATCGAGACCAGCCTGGCTAACACGGTGAAACCCCGTCTCTACTAAAAAATACAAAAAACTAGCCGGGTGAGTTGGCGGACGCCTGTAGTCCCAGCTACTTGGGAGGCTGAGGCAGGAGAATGGCGTAAACCCGGGAGGCGGAGCTTGCAGTGAGCTGAGATCCGGCCACTGCACTCCAGCCCGGGCGACAGAGCGAGATTCCCTCTCAAAAAAAAAAAAAATACAAAAATTAGCCGGGCATGTTGGCCCACCTGTAGTCCCAGCTACTTGGGAGGCTGAGGCAGAAGAATCGCTTAAACCCAGGAGGCAGAGGTTGCAGTGAGCCGAGATCACAACACTGCACTCCAGCCTAGGCAACAAAGCAATACTACGTCTCCAAAAAAAAATTTTTTTAAAGTCGAAACAGGAGGCAAGCAAACATGCCACTACAACACAAGGCAAACTGTGACAAACACCACAAGAGTGGTACACAGAAGAAAGTACCTTTCACTCCTACAGAAGAAAGAGAGAGAAATGTCTTTAACATGTTAAAATCAGCCAGCAGTAGTATTTGGACAGAGCATTGAAGAATAGGACGAGGAGGACTTGGACAGGCAAGGATGAAGGGGCAGAACATACTGGAAGAATATGGAACAGGGTGGACAGGAAAGGCAGGGGCTGCTTAGGAAAGCCTGGAGAGCCCTGTTTCCTGGGGTGGAGGGAGCATGTGGGAGAAGCAGTGGAGAAAGGGACTGGAATCTGGCATTGAAGTCCCTGAAGGCAGAAGAGGCAGAAGGCAGGGAGGAAGGGTGAAGACAGGTGTGTGATATTCCAGACAGACGAAAGGAGAGAGTCAGAACTGGAGACTGGAAAGGACCTGACATATTCTTCATGGTCCCTCTTCAATTTATCTTCTTTTAAATAACATTGTTAAAGATTGAAAACAGGTCAGGTGGGGTGGCTCACACCTGTAATCCTATCACTTCGGGAGGCCAAGGCAGGGGTAACACCTGAGGTCAGCAGCTTGAGACCAGCCTGACCAATATGGTGAAACCCCGTCTACTAAAAATACAAAAATTAGCCAGGCGAGGTAGCATGCGCGGGTAATCCCAGCTACTCAGGAGGTGTAAAGGAGAATTACTTGAATCCAGGAGGCGGAGGTTGCAGTGAGCCGAAATCAAGCCACTGCACTCCAGCCTGGGCGATGGAGCAAGACTCCTCAAAATAAATAAATAAATAAATAAGATTAAAAAAACAGGTTTAAAGAAAATTAACTGTATTTTTGCTTACTGCATATAATAAAGACTTTCTGTTGAAACTGACTAAGGCATGGTGCTCATGAAATGACAGTGAAGCACTCCTACCGCAGAGCTGCCCAAATATAAGCCAAAGGTAAAATCAAAACGTTAGATTACAAAACTCAACTACGGGCTGGCCGGGCGCAGTGGCTCACACCTGTAATCCCAGCACTGTGGGAGGCCGAGGCGGGTGGTCACCTGAGGTCAGGAGTTTGAGACCAGCCTGGCCAATATGGTGAAATCCCATCTCCACTAAAAATACAAAAAGTAGCCGGGTGTGGTGGCCTGCGCCTGTAGTCCCAGCTACTGGAGAGGCTGAGGCAGAAGAATCACTTGAACCCGGGAGGCGGAGGTTGCAGTGAGCCAAGATCATGTTACTGCACTCCAGCCTGGGGAACAGAGCGAGACTCCCGTCTGAAAAAAAAAAAGAAAGGAAGAAAAAACAACTACAATTTATATGTTGCTTTAGGAAAACTGTAGTCCAAACATAGAAAGCTGATTATAATTGGGAAGTAATTTTTCCTCATGGCCAAAAATAGTCTTCGACTTAGAAAAATTAACCTTAAATAATTAATGACTTAAGATTAAATAATTAAGCTTGAATTTCCTATTATTAACCAAGAGGCTTAGAAAGAGAACATCAATGAATCTGACCAGAAAGAAGTTTTAAACCCCTGCAAACCTCTGAAGTATGTCAGTGCATACTCACATCCTTCCTTACACAAACCCGATGCATATGCAAAATGCTCAGGTATCTCGCTAAGGACCTTCTCTCAATGTTTCTTAGGAAATATATAAAAAGGAAAGGGGATAACAATTGATTAAAAATGCAACTATACGATTATTTTAGAATCATATATAAGATCAATTTCAAACTGTTTAAAAATGACTAAAAAGTAGTTGTTTTACGGATTTTTAAGGATTCATCTGGCACAGTACACACATTCTGGTGTAGGAAAAAATACTGAAGTTTCCCATTCTAAGTGACCTTGAGTTGCTTTTGTTTTTAACGGTGTAAGCAGCCTCCTCAACTAATAAAGGTTATTCAAAATTAATTTCTCTACTAGAATATTTTTACTACATTTTGAGAAATCCCCCAAGCATGTTCTCCACACAAAACATTTAAGCCAAAGACTAAATGTTTAGAGTATTTTTCTACCCAGTGTAATTTAGAAGTCCATTAATTTTTTTCAGTAAACTCATTGTGACGCATTTTATTGCCACACCCAGTGTATTCTTTTCATCCACTGTAGATTAAGCTTAAAATACCTATTAAGAAATTAAGCAAAACAATATATATTTTCATGATTGCACTAGCCATCTGTGAAGTCAAAACACGTTTAGTACAAAACACATTTGTAAAAATCTAAAGTATTACATAAAAGCATATAACCTTCGGGCATTTGTTTTCAATGGAGGATATTTACATGTTCCTAATCAAAAGTAGCACATCGTTAGCAAACATTTCTTTGTTATCTTTTCATTTTAAATAACCTGGCTTAAAAAGATGAAACAACTGTTAACTGGAAATAACGTAGATTACTGCCTTCTAAAAATCCTTTTAGAATACTAACGACATTAACTTTCCGTTAAAATGTTAAATTACTAGCCGACTTACGAACCTTTAAAAAAACAAAACCACAGACGGACAAAAATCTCAAACTCTAGCGCGCTTTTTTCCACCTGCGCATATTTTTTTAAATTCGTAAGCGTACTTTAAAACATATTCAAAGAATTTGCACTTTAATCTTCGGTCGAGAATGCAAATTTTAAAACGCTAATAAAATTTCCAGAGTTCTCAAAATGGCTGAGGCGCTCAGCCTCCATCCACGCGGGACAAAGATAAAAAGTGCGCCAGGCGCTCAGGAAACACCACGCAACGCGCGTCCAGTGCAGCGACTTTTCCAGAAAGACAAATAAGGCTTTCCGACAGGTTACCCTGGTAAGCAGCAGCCCGGCCGAGTCTCCCTTTCCCCCTAACGGAACGGCCAGCACTGGCGCCCTCCAAGATCCTTTCTTAAATGTGCAACTCAGCAAAGAGGCAGAGTCAGGGATTCTGGGGGCGCTCGATGAAATCGAACCCCGAAACCCTCAGCTCCCAAGGCACGGTCGGAGATCTTGGGACCCTGAAGCGGAGAGAATTCCGCAATACTCTACTGGGAGAGCGGGGCTAGAGATCCCGGGGATTCCCTTGGTGTCGAACCCTCCCCACTACCCTCACCTCGGAGGACCGGAGCGAAGATCCTGAAGACTCCTCTAGACCAACCAACCCTGCCAACTCTGTTGGAGCGCGGGCTCTGGGATCGCGGGGAAGCCCAGAGGGGCGAACCCCGAAATTCCCTGCCCTGAGAGCAGGATCAGGGATCTCAGGGACCCGGGAGGACAGGGAACCCCCATGACTCTCTTCAGCGGCGCGAGTTAGAGATCCCATGGACTCCCGTACAGGTTAACCCCCCAACTCCGCTGAAAGGCAGGGTCAGAGATCATGGGGAACCCCGAGCCGAGCGAAGCCCGCAACTCTGCCCGGCGGGCGGGATCAGAGACACGTCCCTGGCCCTCCCAGACTGGCGTTGTAGCGTGGCCGGGAGCCCAGGACCCCAAGCGCAGCGGCCGTCGGCAAGTACTGCGGCGTCTTTCCACAACCCAGGACCCACATGGCCACGGCCATGGTGGGGGGACTTCATTCAAAACACTCGGGCCCCGCCGGGAGCGGTGGCCCACGCCTGTAATCCCAGCACTTTGGGAGCCCGAAGCGGGTGGATCACCTGAGGTCAGGAGTTCGAGACCAGTCTGACCAATATGATGAAACCCCCATCTCTACTAAAAACAAAAAAATTAGCCGGGCACGGTGGCGTGCGCCTGTAGTCCCAGCTACTTGGGAGGCTGAGACAGGCCAATTGCTTGAACCCGGGAGGCTGAGGTTGCAGTGCGCCGAGATCGCGCCACTACAGTCCAGCCTGGGGCAACAAAGCGAGACTCCATCTAGAAAAAAAAAAACTAGGGCTGAACCCCGGCTCCCGGATGCCCGCACCCACCTGCGCGGCCATCACGCGCTGCCTCTCAGCGATCAGGTTGCACTTTTTGCACTGGCAGTCCCGCCACATGCAGAAGCGCTTGTGGCCCTTGAGCGGCGACGCGTAGCCGTGGTTCCTGCAGCGTGCGCACTTGGGCAGCCGTGGGGACTTCTTGCTCCCGGCACCCAGGCCCGACGCCCCGGAGCTGGAGCCGCCTCCGCCGCTGCTACCCCCGGCGCTCGAACCGCCGGCCGCCCCCACTAGCGCCCCAGACGCTTTGCCAAACCCCCCGGCTTTGCCCTGCGGCGGTGCCCCGGGGGCGTGAGGGGCTTCCGACGGTGTAGAGGGCTTGCTGAATGCCTCGTCGTTGGGCATGGTGCCCCTAGGAGAAATGCGAGCACTCTGGCCGCCTCTCTCGCCTGGTGATTGCTGCGAGGTATGAACCCGACGGACAGCGAGGCTCGGGAGGAGGAGGCGCAGGAGACGTGTTCGCTGTAGCCGGAGGTGCAGCTGGAGTGGCGAGGTCTGGACACGCCACGCCCGGAGTGGTGGGGGGTTGTGCCTTTTCTTTTGGCGCGCGCGCGCGCGACTCAGAACTTTTGGATACTTTTCAGAACATTCCCGGGACTGCCTGGGAGGGAGCGTGGCCACGCCCACCGCCCCCCGACTCCAGCCACCGCTCTCCAGCTGCTTGCAAACTTGCACCGGCTGCAAGCATCCAGGGCTTTGCTACAGGGTCCCTGCAAGCCCACCGAGAGGTACAGAGCGGCCTGGGAATCGTGGGCACCCCTCCCCCCGCTCTCGGAGGCGCCAAGACCCCGTTGCCAAAGCACGTTGCACCGAGGAAGCTGGACTCCCCAGGTCAAGAGCAGAGCCATGCTTGCATGCTTGGAGGAGGTGCAAACCACCCTACGGGGTCTTCTAGCTCCCTTTCCCCCAGAGGGGCGCACCAGATTTGATAGAGCCGACTTTGGCAACAGCCAAGTCAGAAAAAAAATGTTTTCTCTCTCTTAAGAGCTATGAGGTGGAAGGCCTCAGAAATGTATAGGGTAAATAAGATTTGGCCTATTTGTACGGCAAATAAGATCCTCAATGTGCAGGGCACAAGAACTTCAAAAATTTCAAAGGTTGGAACTTTCTGTTCTCCGTTTATCCCTTCCTGCACCAGTGTTCATTTGCTCACAAGACTTCTACCTCCTTCGCTCCAGATAACTTTACGATCTACGATCTACTATTCCAGCCCGTGTTCCCGTTCACTTCAGGTGCATATAGCTTCTTGCCTGTGAGGCCGCTTAAACTTACACTCTGCAGGCACGGGAAACTCAAACTTAAAAAGAAACATATATATTAAAAAACTGAGGTGGGGGGTGGTTACACATATGTAGACATTTATCAAAATTCATTCTACACTTCATATCTGTGCATTTTACTGTATGTCATTATACCTCTAAAAAAAAAAAGAAAAAAAGAAAAAAAAAAGAAAGAAACCAACCTGGTTCGATCATCTTACAGCCTGTCCCAGGGTTCTCATCCTGAACTCCCGCCCCAGCCATGCCTGTGTCCTCTCTGCACCTGCACAACAAATGCTCAGCAGCTAAGGCCTGCTGAGCAGTTCTTCCTACTCACCCACGTGCTCCCTAAGGCCAGTCCTTCACCTCAAGTCTGAATCTCTGCAGTAGCTCCCAGCTGGTATCTCCATGTCTTAGTCTTCCGGTATATTCTATACACACAGCAGGGGGCCCCAGCAGTGCTTTGCTATTGTTTTCCATGTTAACGAGTTAAAGACCGGGAGTGGGTCTTAATGCACTTTGAATGCTCCTTCTTTTCCACCAGCACTGGTATTAACCTTCAGGATCCTGGGCCGCCTCCAGACCTAGGGGATTATTTCTCCAAAGAGGCATGGTCACCCTGTTCAGCTTCTCATCAAAATGGTTGTACTGTGGCCACCTCTTTCAGCAGTTTGGTGTTTTCAGTACTGAGTTCTGAAATCCTCGAATCTGACTTTGGAGCTCTAATTCTGAGGCCTCTCTCAAGGGCCCTTTCCCTCAGTCTGAAATTTCTCCATTAGTATTCTCTGTCTGAAAGTTACTTCCAAAAGAAGCTTCTAGCTTTACACAGCACCTCTACCTGTGAAACCAGTGAAACTCTACTCCTGACAGGAGCTAGGATGCAACCATCTATCCCATTCTGGAACCTTATAAATGATAACCACTACTTTGTTCAGAATATCTCATGTCTCTTAAATCTTCCATTAAAACACGCATGTCAATTGCTATTATCCAATATTTATGTTCTTTTTCCAGATTTATATTTTATTTATTTATTTATTTATTTTTTAGAGATAGAGTCTTGCTCTGTTGCCCAGGCTAAAGTGCAGTGGCACAGTCATAGCTCACTGTAGCCTCCAGCTTCTGGGCTAAAGGGATCCTCCTTGCCTCAGCCTTCCAAGTAGCTGGGACTAGAGGCATGTGCTACCACGCCTAATTTTTCTTTTTCTTCTTCCTTTTTTTTTTTGAGACAGAGTCTCACTCTCTCGCCCAGCCTGGAGTGCAGTGGCGTGATCTCGGCTCACTGTAAGCTCCGCCTACTGGGTTCACACCATTCTCCTGCCTCAGCCTCCCAAGTAGCTGGGACTGCAGGTGCCTGCCACCACGCCCAGCTAATTTTTTGTATTTTTAGTAGAGACGGGGTTTCACCATGTTAGCCAGGATGGTCTTGATCTCTTGACCTCGTGATCCGCCTGCCTCGGCCTCCCAAAGTGCTGGGATTACAGGCATGAGCCACCGAGCCTGGCCCCAATTTTTAATTTTTTGTGGAGACGGAGGCTCACTATGTTGCTCAGGCTGGTCTCAAACTCCTGGCCTCAAGTAATTCTCTTCCCTCCACCTCCCAAAGCACTGAGATTTATAGATGTGAGCCTCCGTGTCTGAGCCATATTTATATTTTAATACTAAACTGGAGCTGAATCATTCCCAAGGTCCTGTCCAATTTTAGACACTGAAGTAGATGCAGGAAGAAGCAGCTGTCAAATCCCAAATTACAAGGGAATATGTGTTCTTTACAAGCAGCCTATCACTGGAATCTGTGAAGGAGGAATTTAAGCCCACAGAAAATTCAAGGCTAAGAATCTCTGTGACCAAGGCATAAAAACATAAAATGTTGTGATGAAGTTAATGGCCTAGTAAAGTTTTTATTCACAAAACACAGAAGAGGTACCAGACAGGAGACCACCAAAAATAGAGACAGGCCCTGCACAGTGGCTCACGCCTATAATCTCAGCATTTTGGGAGGCTGAGGCGGGCGGATCACCTGAGGTCAGGAGTTCGAGACCAACCTGGTCAACATGGTGAAACCACTTCTCTACTAAAAATGCAAAATTAGCCAGGTGTGGTGGTGCATGCCTGTAATCCCAGCTACTCTGGAGGCTGAGGCAGGATAATCACTTGAATCCAGGAGGCGGAGATTGCAGTGAGCCAAGATCATGCCTTTGCACTCCAGCCTGGGCAAAAAGGGCAAAACTCCGTCTCAAAAAAAAAAAAAAAAAAAAGTGTCCGGGCGCGGTAGCTCACACCTGTGATCCCAGCACTTTGGGAGGCAGAGGTGGGTGCATCATGAGGTCAGGAGTTCGAGACCAGCCTGACCAACATGGTGAAACCCCGTCTCCACTAAAAATACAAAACTTAGCCAGGCATGGTGGGGCGTGCCTGTAATCTCAGCTACTTAGGAGCTGAGGCAGGAGAATCTCTTAAAACCCGGGAGGCAGAGCTTGCAGTGAGCCGAGATCGCTCCATTGCACTCTAGCCTGGGCGACACAGGGAGACTCTGTTTCAAGAAAAAAAAAAAGTGTCTGGGCGCAGTGGCTCATGCCTGTAATCCCAGCACTTTGGGAGGCCAAGGCAGGCAGATCACTTGAGGCCAGGAGTTCGAGACCAGCCTGGCCAACATGGTGAAACCTCATCTCTACTAAAATACAAAAATTAGCTGGGCAGGGTGGTGGGCACCTGTAATTCCAGTTACTTGGGAGGCTGAGGCTAGAGAATCACTTGAATCCTGGAGGCAAAGATGCAGTGATCTGAGATAGTGCCACTGCACTCTAGCCTGGGTGACAGAGTGAGACTTTGCCTCAAGAAAAAAAAAAGAGAGAGACAGGAAGTCCCCAAGAATGAACAAATTTGTACTGGATATTTCGAGTAGCCTGGCTTTGTTGTCTCCTTTCTCTCCTCTCCTTTTTCCAGACATGGAAGCCATAAAGATGATACAGATCTGTATTTACTGAAATAGAAATGTGTCCAAGACATATTAGTAAGTGGGGGGAAGGGCAGTTCTAAAACATGTCAGGGTTAGGCAAAGACTTCTCAGGCATAACACCAAAAGCAAAAGTGGGCTGGGTGCAGTGGTTCATGCCTGTAATCCTAGCACTTTGGGAGGCCAAGGCAGGTAGATCACCTGAGCTCAGGAGTTCGAGACCAGCCTGGGCAACACGGTGAAACGCCATCTCTACTAAAATACAAAAAATTAGCCAGGCGTGGCAGCCTGCTCCTGTAATCCCAGCTACCGAGGAGGCTGAGGCAAGAGAATTGCTTGAACTGGGGAGGCAGAGGTTGCAGTGAGGCAAGATCACAACACTGCACTCTAGTCTGGGCCGCAGAACAAGACTCCATCTCCAAAAAACAAACAAACAAACAAACAAAAGCAGAAGTGATAAAAGGAACAAAACTGACAAACTGGACTTCACTAAAATTCAAAACTTTTGTGTCTTCAAAAGACACCATTAAGAAAATGAAAATATGGCCTGACACGGTGGCTCATGCCCGTAATCCCAGCACTTTGGGAGGCCAAGGCGGGCAGATCACCTGATGTCAGGAGTTCGAGACCAGCCTGGCCAACTTAGTGAAACTCCATCTTTACTAAAAATACAACAATCAGCCAGGCGTGGTGGCAGGTACCTGTAATCTCAGCTAATCAGGAGGCTGAGGCAGGAGAATCACTTGAACCCTGGAGGTGGAGGTTGCAGTGAGCCAAGATAGCGCCACCACACTGTAGCCTGGGCAACAAGGGGAGACTCCATCTCAAAGAAAAGAAAAAAAAAAAAAAAAAGAGAAGAAAAAAGAAAATTAAATGAAAATACAAGCCAAAACATTTTTTGAGAAAATATTTGAAAATCACATATCTGATCATCAGATATCTGATTTGTATCCAGAATATATAAACAACTCTTACAATTTAATAATGAAAAGACAACCCAATTGAAAAAATGTGTTTAATATGGCCGGGCATGGTGGCTTACACCTGCAATCCCAGCACTTTGAGAGGCTGAGGCAGGAGGATCTCTTGAACCCAGGAGTTCACGACCAGCCTGGGTAATATAGGGAGACCCCATCTCTGTAAATAATTTGAAAATTAGCCAAGTGTAATAGTGTGCACCTGTAGTCCCAGCTACTCAGGAGGCTGAGGTGGAAGGATCACTTGAGCCTGGGAGGCTGCAGTGAGCTGAGATGGTGTCACTGCACTCCAGCCTGGGAGATAGAGTGAAACCCTGTCAAAAAAAAAAAAAGATTTGATTAGACATTTTACCAAAGAAAATATTCAAATTGCCAAAAGATGCTCAGTATATTTACTCATTAGAGAAATACAAATTAAAAACATGATAAGCTATTGCTTCACACTCTCTAGGATACCTATAATAAAAAAGATAGACCATAGCAAGTATTGACTAGGATGTGAAGAAACCAGACTCTCATATACTGCTGATGGGTATGTAAAATTGTGGAA